AAGTATATATAGATCTTCAATTGCTGCATGGCGCCAACTCAAATTCCTGACATTCCCTCTTTTGAGCCAAGGCAGTAAGCAAAACACTTCAACAATACATATATATATTATGTATAAATTAGCCCAGGTACGCCTCAATAATCATTTTCCTACACTTAGAATGCCTGCACGGCCCCACAAATAGTACAGATTTAGGGCGGCATTCTAACTGTCAGTCCGGCTACAGTGTTTCGCATCAAATGAGCTCTATACAGTGATTGAATCATGTAGACACTATGTGTATATATATATTTCTCAAGTATATATAGATCTTCAAGTGCTGCATGGCGCCAGCTCAAATTCCTGAATTTCCCTTGTTTGAGCCAAGGCACTAGGCAAAACACTTCAACAATACATATACTATATACAAATTAGCCCAGGTACGTCTCAATATTACTTTTTAGACACGTCTCAGGTACGCCTCAATGTGCTGGGAGGCATTCTAAGTGGTAGCGGAAACCTAGACTCCCCACCCGGTGATAGGCATTCTAACTTTCAGTCCGGCAGTATAATGGGATCAAGAAAAAGATCGACGCTGGACCATGCGGGCGTCCACCTTGGGCAGGATGGTAGGATGGACGCATGATCCACATGACACATGTGGCTTATGATGCTTATGACCCACATATGTAGTAGGCATGACTCATGGCATGCCTCATGACCCACAGTCCTTCTTTCGGAAAGGCATCATAATAAAAAAGGCGATGCAAAAACGAGTGCCCGAGGACGTGCACCAGAACATGTTAGAATGGCCCGTGGACGTCCCATCCAGAAACGGGTTTAATTGGTTTGAAGTGCATCAGAATCGCTTGTTGTGCGCCCAAAGGCTGCCTTCCGGATGCTTATCCGGATGCCACTTGAGCACCAACTTCCTGCACATGGCAGGAGCCAGTGTGGGCATGAACACTCTTTTGGAAATCGGGTTGATATGACAAGGATGATCAAAAACTCCAAGACTGGAGTACAATGCCTATTATTGGTGTCATGTATCCTGATACCTACATGTATACAAATAGATATATCCAAATGGATGTGCTGTGTATGCAAGACTCATTACAATCGGCATCAACCTGCGAATTCTCACGAGAAGATGGGCGCCGTTCTCTCTCGGTAGCAGCAGGCCCCCAACGCAGGACACGTTGGTTTTTGTACACTCATCTTTCGCATATCTCAGCTCATACTCCCTGAGTTTCAGTTGAAGCTCAAACTCCCTGAGTTTCTTTTCCGCTCAAACTGCCTGAGTTCTCCGATTCCTTTCACCCCCAACTCAAGGTGGTTTCATGGCAGCGGCTTTGTTTCACATGTCCACCCAAAGCGGCTTTATGTCACACGTCAAAGCAGGCGCCTGTAGGCCTTCTTGATTTCTTTCTCATCCGCATCTTCTGCAACTTCTAACCTCAGTGGCACAAGGCTCGACGACCTTTCCGATTACCGGTTCGTTTCATCTTGACCAGCTCAAGGAGTGAGTTCACAACACTTCTCCTCTATCGATAATAAACTTTTGAGGAGGAAATGATCAGGTTCTTGTGCTGACAATGCATGACAATATATGACAATGCATGAGAATGCAAATGGCACATGATAACTGAACACTTACTCTGCGCCTTCTTCAAACATGACCAGTTAAGCATATGCTGCTAGGCGTGCATTCTTGAAGATTGGGAAGCTCAGCCTGAAACCTAAAGAAACCATGTAGTATGCTTGGTAATCTGCATGTGTTTGCTTGCTTTACCCTCAAACAGCAATCATTGGATCCTCCTCTCGGCCAGCTGCGCACCATAGTGATCCACAATGTCCAGCTCTTTCTTCTCGTTCGGCTTCTCCTACAAAGCTGACTCTCTACTCCGCTAAAGAAGCGTGAAGTGAGTGACATCATGAAGCATGGAAACTACATGAAAATACAAGAAACTAACATGGCGCGCATGTTTAACAGCTGACTTTCAAAGAACCTATTTGCCAATAGGTGCCTTACAGCCACAAGCAACCCAAACAAACGTAAGTGGACAACTTGCATGTGTTTTACATAAAACTCTGGGTGTGGATGTTCATGGAACTTCAGAGTCTTCTAAACTGAACAAACTTGGATCCAAGGAAACACCTTTCACAAGGAAACGCCTTTCAAAGAACAACACCGTTGGGCAAGTCTTGCCCTTGGAGGATCTAAAGGAGGCTGTGGGCCTGTGACACCTATAGGATGTTCCAACCAGAGTGGCAGTGTGAGGATGCAACGGTCACAGCCTGAACATTGTAAGTCAAACGTCCAAATTACGGAAACACACAACTTGATCCAAGCCTTTCCACGAAAACCTAGTGTCTTGGACATCTCACCACAAAGTTCTGCACTGTTGGTTTCATGACCATATATACATTTGCAACAGAGTCAAAATATCTAGCAGCATCTAGCAAAGTAACAGAAACAAGCCTCCAAGAACAAATTTATCGCATTAACAAACTGATCTTTCATTGTTTAACAACATTCCAGTTCAGCCAACAAAGAAAAGCAACAATTCAGACCAAGATGTATCCTGAGCCCCGAAGACCAAGCAAAAAGTAATCACATGTTTCTATATCCTATTTTATTGCAACTAAACACTAGCGTCACTAGCGCAAACCAGGTGCGCAAAAAACATAGTGTTCCGTTGTTACGCCCGGCGTCCTCTGGTGGAGCTTTGCCACCATACCTGCTAGTGGGCTGCGTTGCTGCGGTTCGTGGCCGGATTTGCCTAAAATGTCTGTATATTAGTTGTCTTCCATCTCGTCTGTCGATAAATGTACCGAGGGCTAGTTCTGAGACAAATTTGTACACAACCATGTGTATATATATATATATTATGTTACATATATATATATATACATACTTTGGGGGATAAAACATCGCCGTTGTCCACAAAACCTGCACTTCCATTCCATGTCTCGGTACAGGGCTTTGTCCGAATCGACTCAGTTTGTTTATCTTTTTTTCAGCAGTTCACTTGATGCGGCCCATTTGCCACAGGCGAAGTGCACTTCTATAGAAAAACACATCAACGCAATTGTGGCTTATACATACAGCTAAAAAAACAACACATTGGTTTGACTTATATAAAACTTATGAAGGAACTGCTCGACACACTCCTTTGAACCACAAAAGAAGGGGCATTGCATGCAGAAACTACACCACTTCCATGGCCAGCCAGCTTTGAGAAACCATCGAGAACAGCAAATTGTTTTTGGGATTGGCTAAAGTGAATTTGTGGCAAACATTCTTTGCCTAGGGGTTTCATTGCTGGCTTGGATGTCAACAATGCTGGCAAAGAAAAGCTTTGAGAGACGAATTAGGCAAGGGATGCCATTAAACGGATTGAACAATGTGATGAGAGGGGCACGCAAAATGCTAGACCCCTGTCCAGCATAAGTGGAGGTCGGGGGTAGCCAGAGTGGACGACCTTGGGGAGGTCAACCTACCGGGGTGAAACGGGCTCTGGGTGCCATGACACAGCCATATATCTGCCCGAAGTGTGACTAAAAAAGCTTATGAAAGGCTACAGTATTTGTCGGTAGCAAATGGCCTCTTGTGATATGAAAGGGATACTCCACACCAGTTGTCCGGAAGCGTAAGCGCCGCTACGAAGCTTGACATCTTAAGATGTTCTCTTCCGGTTGCATGAACCGGGTGTATGTGCGGTTGCAGCTCTGTTTCTGGCTGCTCTTTTGCCTGGAATTCACCAGGCCCCATTTTGCATGCTTGAGTTGATGGCCCCAAAAACGCCATGAGGAAAGCAACAAATGGAGTATGGTGCTGGTGTGCTGGGCGGCTTTCCTGGTCGTCAAGTGGGGCAAAAGGAAAGCCGGCAGCCTCCGACCTCCGGTTCCACCGGCCTCTCTCGAAGGTTCTGCGCGGTCTTGCAGATCCAGGCCTCGGCCGAACGGGGCGCCGCTCGCAGCAAAGCACGGTCGCCGGTCAAAGGACCCAGGAGTCAGTCAGACCGCAGCACGTCAGTCAGCTTAATTAAAAATTAAGTTAGTTCTAATTCTAATTCTATTGAATTCTTGTTTCTAATAGCAAACATTGCTACTAGTAGTATGGCCAGGAGCCCCTAGTAGCGTCCTTGCTCCTAGTAGCGATGCCAGGAGCCCCTAGTAGCTTCGTGTTTCTATATAAATCTTCCCAACAGCCTTCCGGACCAAATAAGCATTCTTCAGTCAACTCTCGTCAATACTGTCAGAACGAACATGTACTCCTGATCTGGGTTTGCCTCAACATCCCAGTCTACAATCTGGACAATTAAAAAAAACAAACATCAAATCACAAAAATGCTCATCCTTGGAACAAAAGCCAAGGATGTTCTGGAGAAATACCCATCTCGCGGGGAGCCCGCGGGCTTTGTGGGCTCGGGTGCCCCGGCGGAAGGATTTCGGATCCCGGGGCCCTTTTGCTCCAGCTCCTTGGCGGTGCAACGCAAACACGATGGATGAATAACTGGATGAATATTGATGAGTGAAGACTTGCTTTTCTGTTTGGTGCAAACCTAGCTCGGCCCTGCTCCCTACTATTTTTGGCGTAGCCATACTGGAATCCTTTGGTGTACCCCTTAGAGTCGGATCGAAACCTCAAACACATGACAAAACCAAACGACTCCGTTTCATCTGTCCTTCACCAGTTCCTGTAAAACAGTTCTCTTTTCTTTTTGCATCAGCAACAATCAACTGTTGGACCCATTCAGAAGAAGAGATGGTATAACCGCCACCGACCCATGGGCAACTCCCGGGGCCCGCGTCGCGTGGACCGCCTGCAGCGCTTTGACCGCGTCGCGTGGATCCAGGGCTTCCAAGGCCTTCAGGCGTCACAGGGCGTGAAGATCGCAACACCAGCAAGTGAAGCAGTGGGACGTGGTGGGATGTGGCTCAGGCAGCAGCTCCATGCAGCAGCTGAGTGCGAGTTTCAAAAAACGTCGGGATCACTGTCGGGATCATAGGGGTGAAAATCTTTGAATGCAGAACATGAAGGGAAGAGTTCACGGAAGAACAGCATGGGTCTATGAACAAATTGACTAATGGTGGGCCAAAGAACCCATCAATCAATGAGGGCACTAATTTTGATGTTGTTTCCTTCATGGGATCTACTAGCCACATCAGAAACTAGCCGGTCTATGGACCTTGATGGCACATAATGGACATAGACCTTCAAGTCCAACTCAATTGCTCCCTAAGAAAAGCCATCAAACAATATAAAAACCCAATGACTCCACTCCTACTGATCTGATCTTCCTGTCTTCTTCATCATCACATCACTTTCCCTTCAATTGTTGGCAAACAACACGTGTGGATAACACCTGTCTGCGTCTTGTGTTGTTTTTCTACCACAATTCCTTCAGCCCCTGCTGTTGCGCCGCACCTGGAGCGCCTTGGTGTCGAGGGGGAATTTCGCCAGCCACACCTGCAGCTGCTGGAGATCCTCCGTGCTTTCGCGACCACGCGGAGTTCGGGCTGCGACCCGCGTGTTGAGACTGAAACGCGACCACGCTTGGTGGGAGAGAGAGGGAAGCATAGTTGCGGGGGGTCTTGTGTTAGTCTTGTGGGTTCTTGGTTGATACTCTTACCAGTTGCTCTTTGTTGCTATAGGAATGGGAATGTATTTCCTGGCAGGAGTGCATCTTGTTAGTTGCGTCCAGAATCGGTGGTGGCTCCTTCTTTGCTTGATCTTGATGATAAAGCCTTCAGCACAAGACAGATCGGTTGGGCGCAGGCTTCCAATCAACGCAGCCACCTCAAACCCATGCTTCGAGGCAAACACCTTTAGCCGATCATACATGTCAGGTAAGTCCAGCTTCCGTGGAGAGCCTGGAAAGAAGACCAAGCCTCGAGTTCGGAAAAACACATCGCAATAACTCACCCTTCGAACAAATCGAACCAACGTGATATTCCCAAGCCTACCACTTGAAATCAAGACACTAGCTCCCATTTCTGCAAGAACCCCCGAACCGTCCCAACTAAGGTTTTGGATTGGTTTGACTATGACATATCACAAACACCTCAAACAAGTTGCTCAACCGTTCAAAAAGAAGGGCTGATGGAACACAGTAGTTCCTTTGTCATGTTGCAGTGTAAACGTATGGAAAAAAGGACAAAACACAGTTTTTGTCGCCGATCCAGCAAATGTCGCAGCTCTTGTCGTCCTAAAAGAAACAAAACTATTCGACTCAACCACCCACGCGACGTCAGCATATCTTGTGCATTTGCTTCAGGCTCAAGCAAGGACACAAGCAAGGGAAACAACCAATGCATTTGGCAGCAGCGCCTCACATTCAAAACACACAATTTTTACAATAACAACAATGGTTAGATCATGTTAGATCTATGATGATCTCTCTCCAAGTTCACCGCGAAACCTTCCACTTGAGATATCAGCCTTTCTGCACAGGAACACGATAGTAACCCAACAAACTGAGCAACATCCAGTCTCCTCCTCCGTGGGAGGCGGGCGTTCATCGCCTGGACAATGATCAAAGGTCTCACTGGTTAATCAATAGCATGGCGCCACAGGCGTGTCAGTCTCACCCCGAATCAGCATGATTCTTCCAGTAGACCATGATCACCACAAAAAAATAATTGAAAACCGTTTCTATCTATTTGAGGACCACTATAAACCGAGTCAAATGATAGGAGTCCATAGGAGCGTCAGTCAATCCGTTTGGCGACTCAAGTGGATCCGAAGACACACCCGTTTGAAATATATTTTCTATTGATATTTCCAGTGGCCGTCCCAGTCTCGTCAAACAATATAAGCTGACTCTCAAACCTGAAAGTTCAGCGGCACTCAAGCAGGGGAACAAGAATGGCTTTGCCAGCTTGACCAATGACTTGAGATGTGGATTTGATATACATTTAACACAGCATTTGCCTGCCTATTTATGTACAGTATCTTCTTTGGGGGGGCTTGGACACAAAAGGGTTGCCAGAAACAACAGGTGACACGATGAATTTGAGATTGTTCGCTACTAGGTTCGCTACTAGGTTGGAGGCCATCGCTATTAGGTTGGAGACCATCGATGGACCATCGCCATTAGGTTGGAGGCCATCAATTTGAGGTTTTTTTGCTTGCCGGTTGCTGTGCCGTGCCTGGACCAGGACCACCGGAAGCTCCGTCTTGCCGTGCCTTCCTTTGCTCCTGCACATGGAGTAAAACGATTCCTGAACGACTTGGCAGAACTCAAGCATGAGGTGAACAAAAAATACATGTTGCTGTTGAATATATATATATATATTTTTTTTTTGCGCGCCTTTTCTGATGTGCGAATGGGTGCTAGCCGAAAAAGGATCTTAGATCCTGGGAGCCGGATGCCAACTGACATCGTTGGCGGAGCTTGTCCGTGAGCTCAGGCTCATTGTCCTGCACTTTGGTGCGGCTGTGACACCGGGTGCAAAAGGCCTTGTTGCCGCACCTTTCCATCCTGTGCGATGGGTGCCCCTGCCACTGCTCTTCCGGAATGGGTCCCACCACACATGGCTCGTGAAGCCAGTGGTCGAAGTTCTCCTGAGAAGTTCTGGCCAGGACATAGCCTTTGCACCTGCGGCAGCGAACGTAGGCACGGTCCAAGAAGATGACGTGCTGACCTGGAATCTCCTCAGTTTGTGCTTGGATCAGGTCCTCAATGACCTCCATGCGCGTCTTGCGCTTGACAGGTTGAGTCATCCTCGCGACACAATCAGACCCCAAGGCATCTCGGAGCTCCTGAATGAGGCTCTTCGAGTGAAGGCGAGCTTTGCAGTGCTGACAAGACGCGCCCGAGCGGAAAGGGATCCAGCTGTGGCCGCCTTGGTTGGGCTTGGCAAGCAGTTCCTTGAGGAGCTCCTTCTTTTGCTGAATGAGAGGGACTTTGGAGGAGTCCTGGCCACCACCTTTGTGGAAGTAGTGGGACTTGTCCGTGAGCAGGTGTTCAATTCTGCCAGCCGCAGCCAAAAGAATGGCTTCAGCATCTTCGTCGATGTTGGCCTGCAGATCCAAGATGGCCGTGGGGG